GAGGACTCTAAAGAATCCCCACGGGTGTCTTCTGGTCTCTGTTAATTTAGATGAAACACGGATGTGTGAGAAAAAAATGTTATGTTTTATCATTGTCCTTTTCATTCCAGTGGGTTTGAATAATAATAGACATCAGCCAGTAGGTTGATTCTTCTTGTTTTGTGTACAAAAGCTCACCTTAAACATAGTTAAAACTGATAAAAGTCGATGTAGTGTAAACTCCCTTCATGTAAATACCAAATCTTAAAATGTAATCATGTATGCGTGTGTATTACTGTATGTAAGGGACCATCCATGGTTTTGGAATGAAGTTAAGCAACAAAAATAATTAGTGTGCAAACAATATTCACTGTAAACAATAATCACTATAACGAAAGTTTCATTTTCCTTCCTAGTTTCCATTAGAAGATTTGAATTCAGACTTGCAGAAAACACTTGATAGTGACTCTGACAGCGGGCAGGGCAGCTGTGAAACAGCTTCTCCAGGTCACTTCAGCAAGCGGATAGCGTCTCTTGATGACAGAGGTCTGTCATGTTTCCATGAATTGTGCCTGGTGGTTGTTCCCTTCAATGGTGCATCTTTTGTTTTACAAATGCCTTTTTAAGAAGTTGTCGTTGCTTGACTGAATCCAAACTGCCTTTTTGTTGATCAAAATGTGGGCAGACATCTGTAAATTGCTGAAAAGCATTTCTGGATATACAGAAAGGGAAATAGTAAATGCGACGTGAGTGTCTTAATTGCTTATTTCCTTTCTTTTTTATGATTTGCTCAACCTTTGTACTTATTTAGTTACTTATTGTGGGTTTTAATACTATTTCAAGGCAAGTCACTAATTTGTCTGAAGGATTTTCAGCTTTGTCTTTTTTTAAAGGTTAAAAACCTGTAATATTGGTTTGGGTCAATTATATACTGCACTGCAGATAGGAGGGCATTTTGTAAACTTGAGTACAGTCTGAATTGCTGCAGATGTTGAAATCTGTGAAACATAAGGTTACATATCTGTTAAATTTAAACTGATTAATTGTTAATTAACTTGTGGTATTTTCTTCTCTGTAGTGTGCATAATTTCTTTTCTTTTAATGTATTTTGTCAGAATCGGAGGAAGAAATTTTTGTACGTAAAAAACCAAAAACCAAGAAGGTGCTTCAGGATAGCGAGAGCGAAGATGGAGAGGACTGTAACTCTTTTGTGCAGAACGGTACTCTGGATGGAGACAAGGAAAACAGAGAGGAAAAAGAGGAAGTTACTGCCCCGAGGAACAAGAAATCTCATCGGATTCGTCAAGGTCTGCTAGACAGTGATGATAGTGACACCGGTGACCAATTGCAGAGCGAAAACCTTGAAACAAGCAGAAAGTCCCGCTTGACTGAGAATGAGTTGGAAAAGGAGAGACCCCTAAAATCTGGGAAGAAGTGCAGAAAACATAAACCTGATTTTGAAGAAGAGACAGCAAAAAAACCTGTAAGAAAACCAAAAAGAAGAAAGGAGAAGGAGAGGAGAACTGAGTCCATTAAACAGCTGAAAAAAGACAAGAAGCCTAGAGCAGAGGTATATATTTTGGCAGAAAATATCAGATGTTTTCTCAACTCGGTTAAATTTGTTACTGCATTTGGATATGATGTTGCAAAGCACCAGCTTGGGTAGTATCCGCATTGCTACAGCAGGTGCGGGAGTCCATGGGCTTCATCTGCAAAGAAAGTACAAATCCTAACTTGATGTTTTAACGTCAGTGGTGCTTGATGACTTAATGTCAGTGAACGTTAAGCCAGGCAGAAATTGTTTGGGTTTGTTATGTGCGCAAACGGCCTTGGCATTTTGGCTTTTCTCTACATTGCTCTGCTAGTTTCTGGAGGAAGCTTTAGGTTACTTTCAAATTGGAATTCTGGTCTAAAAAAATGGCTGCTTGGGAGGTTGCGGATTGTCACTCTTTATAAAATGCGTATTTAAAGTGTTAATTTATTCTGTCTGAGCCATTTTGTTCTGTAGTAATGCAAATTCCCCACTTATCAGGGAACACTTCTTCCCTGTGAGGGTGACAGAACACTGAACAGGCTGCCCAGAGAGGGGGTGGAGTCTCCTTCCCTGGAGACTTTCCAGAGCCCCTGGACTTGTTCCTGTGTGATCTGCTCTAGGGGATCCTTCTCTGGCGGGGGGGTTGGACTGGATGATCTCCAGAGGTCCCTTCCAACCCTTTCCACACTGTGAATCATTGATATAGGGAACACTGCTCCAAGAGTTACCTTCTCAACTCAGTGCTACAAAGTGACTATGACTGGCTTAGAGGACACAAGGTTCTAGATTAAAGATGCCTTTTCTAACTTCTTTCATCAATACCTTCTGCCAGTAACCTTAAATTAATGTCAACGAGCGGAAGGGGAACTTCTGAAATGAGTTACACAAATACTTTATTCTTGTGGCAAGCAGGGGGATGGTGGTGAGCAGGATCCTCGTAATGACAGTGGATGTCTTCTTGATGACAAAGATCTTTTTGATAATGGCTTGGAAGAGGAAAACGATTACCCCCCCGAGGATGAAGAGTCAATAGAATCGATACGAGCGGCAGTGAAAAACAAAATGAAAAAATATAAGGTAACATTTGATAGTCATAAAAGATTATTGGTTATTAGTAGGATTGTACCTGAGCCTGTATTAAGACTCCTTTTGACGATGGTGCACTTGAACTGCTATGAGAGAGATCAGTCTGCTTTTGGTTCGTAAAGGTGGAGGGATGCTGTCCTGGAAAGTTGCAAAGATAATGCTGCAGTAGAAGCTTTGGAAATCTACCATGAGCATTATGTAGCATTTGTGTCAGTTTATGAGAACACTTGCTGTTTTTTCTGGTTCTGATGACCAGTGATAATTGTGTACAATTAGTTTTCACTTTTGACTTGTTTGCCCTTGGTAGCACCTGTGTATCTAGACAAATCAACAAATCTCTTTCTGTGCACTGTAGAACAAAGAACGAGTTTCTGAGGGTGGAGGCTACAAATGTGTATTTGATGATGAGAACGAGGAACCTCTAGTAAAAGAACCAAAAAGGAAGGTGAAGTATTCTTCGTTTTAAAGCTCTACGCTGTTTGCTGTAGTGACTCAAATGTTTTTTGCGTGCACACAGTCCATTGTGTTTATTGATTTGCTATTTTTAATCTTTTTTTTTTTTTTTTGTAACAGACTGCTTTATTCTGACTTATCTCTGTTTGAAAGGGACAAATAAGCTTTTTAGGACGTATCAACCAAGTCGCGTGTTTTGTTTTCCGACTTCCAAAGCCTCTCTTTTCTTTCCTTAAGGAGCGGAAAGCAGCAAGGTTAAGTAAAGAAGCCATTAAACAACTGCACAGTGAGACACAACGCCTTATTAGAGGTAAAACTGTCATTCTGTAAATGTAGACGGGTATAAACTACTAAGAAATTAAGGGGAGAAATTGAAAGAGTTTCACCTAGCATGAGTTATTTAGGGTTGAAGGGTGCAAGACCATTTTTATTCAGAAGTCTTTGCTGCAAAATACTGCTGTCCAGCCTCTCTGAATTTCAGAGACATCAAATAAATGCCTTGGGTCACTTAAAATTTTCTCTCACCTCCTTTCTCTGGTAGAATCGTCTGTGTCTCTCCCATATCATGTGCCTGAGACCAAAAGCATTCATGACTACTTCAAGCGTAGACCTCGACCAGTATGCCAAGGAAATGCCATGGCCTTGCTGAAGTAAGGACTTACACCTTCCTTGGTATTTCATACATTGTGAGGATACCCCGGCTTTGCTTTTGAGGATAACCAGACATTTGCATGCTATAGGTGTTGTATGATGTACACACCTGCTCTGTGTACACTCACATCCTGTTTCTGTTTAATTTTAGCTGTTACTTTGACTGGGAAGTTTCTTAAAACTTTCTTAGGCTCCTTTACACCTGGAAATAAGGAGTATGCAGCACTGCCTGATGTTAACACTGACACACTTAACACAGTCGTGCTATTGAAGTAACTGGGGCCTAGTAGTAACTCCAGGTGAAGTTACATGCTTGTGCAAAGTTACTTTAATGTGGTTTAGACTGCACCGCAATATTTTGCTCTTTTGAGCAATGTATAGTAAAATACTTAAGCTAATGTTGTCACAAAATCTCAGGAATTTTATACTGTGGTAATGTAACTAGTACAAACTCTTTACACTACTCCACACTTCAGCTTCCTTATCTCCTTAACATGAAGTTTTCCAGACTTCTGCCCTTCCCTTCTTTCTACACATTAATGACAGGAATTAGAAGATGACTTATTTCTCTCGGAGTTTGTTCTCAACCTCTTCTCCCCTTCCCTGATAGCCTTGGGTGATAGTTTTCTGCCTTCATTAGGTCCACTAAATACCAGCTATCCCTACATGAAGAATCTGCAGAGACTGTGAACTCAGGCACGGATTGCAAAGCTGTGCAAGTTGAAGGTGATCAACCAGCAGCTAACGAACCAGAAAGAAGCCTTGGCAGAGATGTTGGTGCTACTGTGAACAGACCTCTTGCTGATGTAGGGAAGAACCTGGAAGAAGACTCTGCTGAAAAGCCCAGGCAGGACAGTGATGGTTCTCACGCAGCTGGGACTGTAACAACTGATAATACAGAACAACGGCACTCTGACTTCCTACGCCCCGACTGTAGTGACCAAAACCAGAATGAAGTTTCTGTAGCAGCTGGAGGAGAACCTCTTGAGCAAAGAGATGAAAAGGCACCAGACATAGAATGTGAAAAAAACAGTCAACAAGTGGGGCCGGGATTGATGGTACAAACTGAAAAAGTGAGGAAGTCCAAGTTGGATAAACTTCGTGAACTGGGAATAGACCTGTCCATCAAGCCAAGAATCTGCTCTGGCAATGAATCCTTTATAAACCTCGAGGAGTCTGATTCAAATAAAGGTATCCCTTTACTGTTGTAATCCTGTACATCTGTCCAAGTAGGCAGAGTTCATCTGACTTTGGCTAGAAAACCTCTGGGAAATGTTTAGGTGATAGAAGAGTCAGGCACGTTCTCTCACTACTGCGGATTCTTTGCTTAATGTCGGGATGCCTTTTCTTTCAGCTGATGCTTAAAAAGAAAGTTCCGAGTTGTTTGTATTTGAAAGCTTGAAGGGAATGATCAGTGATAACTATTTAATGAAAAATGATTTATTTCCATCTTGCTGTAGTGAATTATGTTGGTGCTTAAAGCACGTGGGAGCACTCTTTTCAAATCGATCCAAAATGAGGCACTCGGTAATTACCTGGGAGCAAAGCTGGCCTGTGTTCCAGAGTGGTGACCACTGATTTTGTTAAAAGGCAAGGCTGGACAGCATGCAGAAATTTGCTTTTACAGCCAGAATATTTTTAATGTCTTTTAGGTACTGGATTTTGAGCATCTATTCATCAATACTAAATAGTTGACCTTGCTTTAGGGAAAAGATTACCAATGATTAGGCAATTTTATAATTCCATTAAATCTATTATGTATTAGAAGATATTAAGAGGATGTCTGGATTGTCAGCCATCAGTCTGGTTTTAGATCTGTGTGTTAACAGCAGTTTAGAATGGCCTGATGGCTGGAAGGCCAGAGTGGGAGTGAACTGTGGTCTTGTGGGTAAATCATAGTCAATGATTAGGTAATTTAACCGTAGCTAATATCAATTAGGTATAAGCTACAGCAAAACCAATTCTGCAGTGGTTTATTGTTTCCTTGGTCAAGTAGAATGTTTTTGCAGATCTTTTCATGTTAAAGATTTAGGGTTTTTAACAAACTTCCTTTAAAAAAAATTCTCAAAAACTTACTCTTGATACAACTTTTAACACTCAATGCTTTACAGTGCTATCAAGTTAATTTAATGTGCATTCTGAAATTGAATTAACATGTATTTAAAGAATTAGAAGCCTTGAAAGCGCGTTTCTTGAAGCACACTCTTCGAACGTCAAAATCCAAAGTTGAACGGACCGTAAACGTGAACATTATTCGTAAGGAGACCACATCTGAAGGGAAGGAGGAGCTGAAAGCAGATGTGGTGCCAGCAGTGTTAGCTGCTGAGAGCCTGGATGAAACAATCCACACAAAGCCAGGTTGGTCTGGGAGAAGTGATGATGCTGAATTGGAAAACACTTTGTCTTTTTTTGGCTCTCATTCCCCCTTCCCCCATGCTGCCCTGTGAAATACACATGAAAGGATCATTGTGACCGGTTCTCTGGATTTCTCTCCATCTGTACCAGAATTTTATACAAACATATGTCTGCAGTGGTGCCTTCCATAGGCCTCTGAATCTCTCAGACTTCTTGTGCACTATTCCCAGTTATTAGATCTCTCGAGCTTCCTTATTTCTGTACTGCAGTTTCTAATAGAATTGTTGTATTTGCAAACAAAAATGTGTGGAATGTGACTTCCCATAGTATCCCTTAAAAGAAAGATTTATTTGGCTGGTTCTATGGGCACGTGTTATTTTTATCTGCTCTTAATTATTTCATGTGCTATAGCACATCTGCCCATGGCAGTTGGATGCTCTCGCTCCCCAAAGACGCAGTGGTGGGACAACCCCTATTCAGTGCTGCACCAGCTCATGGATCACGAGGGATCTTGATAGTTCATGAGTTTGGGTAATCTCTAAATTGAGCTTATTGACACTAACTGCTCTTCTAGCTGGCAGATCGTCATTAAAAACATATCAAAACGAGTAACTTTTTAATTCCCTTTTATATGTGTGGTTAATGAGATTGGATGCTTGAAAGCCAGCAAGTTAAGGATTCTCTGTAGTGCATCTAATACTGAATGTATTCACTTCTCTCCAGGTGAAAAGCTGCAGGCGCTGAAGGCTAAACTCCAGGAGGCCATGAAACTCCGCAGGACTGAAGAACGCCAAAAGCGGCAAGCGTTGTTTAAACTGGATAATGAGGACATGCTGGAGGATGAAGAAGAGGAGGAAGAGATGACGGATGAATCTGAGGAAGAGGAAGAAGTCAATCATGAGGTCTGCATGTAACTGTTTTGCATAACCTGTTCTGCTGCCTCTCCCCAGTGAAATTAAACTCCTGAACGCTATTAATATTAGGGGAATTGCTAAGGACTTCTTAGAAGCAAAAAAATTGCTGCAGTTGGCATGTTCAGGGCTTGGATTGTTTAAAACTGAATTTATTAGTGTTTCCTTTATTTGTCTAAGCAGTATTTTTTTAATATATATAAGTACATAGAAGATTCTGGTGGCACTTTTTCTTTTAATGTATCCTTGTCTTGTTGCTCACTGAGGTCACCTGCTTGACCTGGGGTAGGGTTTGCCACGGCCTTTCCTTTTTTGAAAAGGATCAGAACAACCTGGCAGTTTCAAGCGCCTCAGTGTCAGTTGTCTGAGTGGAATAGGTGCATGTAAGAACTGTGGATGTCACTCAGCTTCATCCTCCGCATGTTAAAACGTTTTCTTAAACACTATGCAAGGAAGTTGACAGATGAAAGCAATAATCCCTATTTTCTGCTGTGTTTGGGGTGTTTTTTAGAATGTGGAATTTTTGCTCGGCGAAGCAGAGGAGGATAATGAAGATCTAGAAGGGAAACACATTGAAGATGGCGATAAAGAAACAGACAAAGAATCAGTTGATGGAGAAAAGCTGGAGAAATCTGTGCCCTGTGATTCTGTTCCCAAACCACCTTCAACAGAGTCAACACTGATGCTTTTTAAGGATAGCTCCTCAAAAATGGGGTAAATAAATCAAACTTTGGTGCTTGAGCAATTTTAAATTGGATCAATACAGAGAGATGTTTTGATTTAAGGTAGTTTTTATATGTATTTTTTGTGTCATGTTCCAGGATTTTTATGTGCATTCATATATTTGATTTGGAAAAAATGACTGTAATTGTTGTTTAGTGAAATAATGTGTTTCTAAGCAAAGTGTACTAGCTGTAGTTTTGTGTGTTACCTTGGTTTTTGCAATTCATCTTGACAGAAAATAGCAATTCATCTTGTATATATTAGAAAATACATGCCATTTAATGAATTGCAGATATTCTCTTCCTGATGAGAAACTTGAGCTGGAAGAAGCTGCAGAAAAAGGACCTACTAAGTTAGGTAAAGTAGAGCTGTTATTGCATCTAGTATTTCTTTCACATGGCACATATAGAAGTTTCTATTTGGGGAAGGTATTCAATACTTTTAGTTATACAGGAGGATTACAGAAGTTCAGGCTGAAAGAAATGGGGGGCTTGAAAAATCTGGAGGAAAATTTGAGATCAAAATGGTACTGGAAAAATATAAAACCAGTCAGAAATCAAGTGAAAAAGGGCAATGTGCCTCCTCTATGAAGAAAGAAATCCAACGTGAGCACAGAATAATGACTTTTTAGCAAGTCGTTGGTGTTTCAAAATAGCATCTCGAGGTTTTACTGGATCACAAAAAGAAGTTAAGCACTGTGTTGAAATAATTTGTTTTCTTTTCAGAGGATGATGATTCGTTTTCTCTACCAACACTGGCAAAAGAGAACAGCCATAACAGCAGCTTTGAGTTCATTGGCTCCATGATTCCGTCGTATCAGCCCTGTAACAAACACATGTCACGTGGAGGGACCTTTTTATCTGCAGCGGGAGGTTTCAGGTCACCTTCCCCAGGTTTTTTCAAAACAAGCTTTATCAGCTCTGCTTCCAAGGTAAGGTTCTCAGTCTTACTCCCGTTGTATGTTGACACAGTGGGTAGTGAATGCATGTCTTGCATCCTGACTGTCATATCTCTCAAAAAAAATAACCCCAGCAGAAGGCATCCAGCCAAATGCTTTTATATGAGTAAGGGTTTGGAAAAGCAAACTGTCCCTGGAGTTTAAAATGTCTCCACACTGGAATGGATAAAAACTATAAGAACTTGTATTCTAAAACATCAGAGCAAAGATGCTATCATCTGCTTTTGGTATCTAAAATATGTACATCGTAAATATGTTTTTAAGCATACTTACATGACCTACATAACATCTGTTGTCAGTGAACTCCTGTCACTTACCAGAGCAGTGGGGACATACGTGACACCTCCATGGTGTTAATCCTTTAAAATAGCTTAACTGTCCCATTCTTGCTTTTGACTTCTAGGATTGCAAAACAAATAACTTGTATGTTTTTACATTCCTTTGACTAGAGCTCAGGAAAGACGTCTGAGCCCTCTCTTCCCATAGAAGATTCCCAGGACCTGTATAATGCCTCTCCTGAGCCTAAGAATTTATTTCCAGGGGCTGTGGAGTCACAGTTTCACTTTTCTCTGGAAGATGACACTCAAAGCCAGCTGCTTGATGCAGATGGGTAAGTGATAGGTGTAAAGGATGATGCTTGGTGTCCTTTAACACAAACAGGACATACAGACCAGCAAGGTTTTTCTAACTACAGACTTTCTTTCAGGTTCTTGAATGTTGGACAGCACAGGAATAAATACCAGTCCTCAAAGCATCGGCTGACTCTGGCTAGTATGGATGAGAATGCAATGGATGCCAACATGGATGAGCTACTGGACTTGTGTTCTGGGCAGTTTAGCAGTCAAGCTGAACGCGTGCCAAACACCAGCAGCAACAAAAAGCAGAACATGGAAGAATTGCTCAATCTTTGCTCAGGAAAATTCGTGTCTCAGAGTATGTCCTGAGTTCTGTTTTCAGCTGGTTACTTGATTTCGAAGCTTTATGCTAAACTGCCCCTCAGTTCTGGGTACTAATGCAGAATGTGGAACTGGGACTTGAGAGAGCACTAACTATTGCCTCTGTGGGAGTGTGCTAGCTGTCATTTCTAAGATACTCTGACATTTTTAGAGTAAAAATACCTGTCTAATAAGTTGCCATCTTACTCCTTTTCCTAGCAAGTTCTCCAACATGGGTATCTTCCGTATCTTCCAAGGCAGAAAAAGACAGTGACATAGAAGACCCAATGGCAGAAGCTCTAGCACTTTGTTCAGGCTCCTTTCCCACCAACAGGTTAGCATAATTCCTAATATTTACAGGAGCTTGTAGCGGTCATCGTTTCGCTCTGAATGTGTTTCCGTGTTCAACATCAGTTCAGACTCCTGTGAGCAAAAGTGTGGTCTGTTTTGGGAGGAATATTGCAAATTGCCCAGCAATCGCTCTCCAAGTCGGCAGCGGCTGCTGTTTCCCCCAGCTACTGCAAAGGGAAGTTCTCCCTTGTCTTTCACTGGCAGTGAAAGATGTGTTGAAGAACTTCCATCAAACTGATGAAAGGTGGTTGGAATGTAGGCCTTTAGGGTTCTGTTCTGGGCTGTTGCTGAACTACAGGAACCCTAATCAAGTATAAGTTGGGTATTAGCATTTTCTCCCATGGTAAATGGGAAAGGTGTATGGCTGTCTGACAAAAGGATAATGAGGCTTAATAAATGGGAATGTTTGGGAGATTCAAGAGGAATTTTTGAGGGAAACAAACTCAGGTTTTAATACTCACCCCCCATGGTTTCTGCAAGTGAAGACCTGAGGTCTTAAAACATCAATGCTAACGGGGGTTTTGAGCTTCTAAAGCTCAGTGCTGTTGAGAGACTCTGGCTCACAGGTAATTGCTGAGAGCAGGTAACATGACGGTTGAAATCTTGCCTTGAATGACTGCGAAGCCGTCCTTGGAGGTGAAATGAAAATGTGTATTTCTTTCATTTGTTTTTCCCATAGGGAAGAGGAAGGTGAGGAGGAGGAGGAACTTGGTGGTTTTCAGCTTATAACAGATGACAATGCCTTTGGAAGTGAAGAGGTATGAACAGGTGGAGTAAAGCAACTGCTACAGCATTCTCATGATGAAAACCCCCTTATCTGCCTAGCTTTTTAGTGTAACCATCAGTGCAAAGTCTCATGGCTTCCAGAACGAGTTACTGAAACATTTCTGAGAGCGGTTTGGGTCATTTAAAACGGCCACTTAATATGATCATGTACTGGATAAAGCATCTGGGCATAGCAAATTCTCTGGAAAACCTGTGGTGGTTTAGTTTGTGTTTTTCTTGACTGAAGAACAGAAGAAACTGTCATTACAAAGCAGTCTGCTTCAGAAATTCCTTAACTTCTGAAAACTTTCCCATTGACAGGATGAAAAAAGTGGAGACACTGATCCTGAAGAAGAAATTAGTGACGATGAAGAAGAACTGCTGCGACACAGACAGGGCTTGAAGAAAAAACTGTAAGCACATCTTTTTTTGTATCTGAATTGCCAGACAGAATAGAATATGGACAGCACTAGAAATTTAGCTACTAACGCTGGGGAGGGAATAGACTAATATTTATATGGCGTTTGGTTTGGGGTGGTTTTTTGCTTTGGTGCTGACACCTTGCTTGAGTTTAACTGTGGTGCTGGTGGGCTATAGAGGATTTCCATCCTAAGTTCCATTATAGGTGGAAATCAAAAGGCCACGATGAGAGGAATGCAACATTTTAATGACCAAATTTAGCCTTTTCAAAAATTAAAGATGAAGCATAACTTCTCACTTGGAGTATGTGTTAATTTTATGTCAAAAGATAACTCTTGCTTTCAGACGACTCGTGTGGTGATAACTGGTCTACCAAACTGAACTCTTTCCATGTTCTTTTATAGGAATCTGCAGGATTTCATGGAAGATGAGGCAGAGCTGTCAGGGAGTGATGTGGGAAGCGAGGATGAATATGATGGTGAAGACCTGAATGAATATGAAGAAGAGGTTATTGATGAAGAACTCCCTGATGAAGTGGAATTAGGAAATCAAATACAGAAATTATACATGTCAGTGACAGTATTAGTCAACATTTTTGTGTGTGAAGTCATGGCTCTTCAGAATAAGCAGAACTAACCTCCTCCCTTTCTCCTGTGTTGATAGGAAGACAGCACTTGATGATGACAAGCGTCAGTTACGCCTGTACCAGGAGAGGTACCTCATCGATGGGGACCTGCACAGCGATGGCCCCGGCAGAATGAGGAGATTCAGATGGAAAAACATAGGTGCCTTACTGATCCAGAGTTAAATAGATGGGGGTGAAAGACTGGAAGGAGGGCGTGTGTGTGTGTATGAAATAGCACTCGGTGGTCCTTCAGAAGTGAATAAAGTCTTTCAGAATCAAATTGGGCTGGGGGAGTGATCTGTTTTGGGTTTTTCTTACTATTCTGCATATTTTATGCCTCTCAAAGTTGGTAGCTAATTATTTTTTTTCTTTTGTCTAGATGATGCTTCACAGATTGACTTGTTCCAGAGAGATTCAGATAATGACGATGACAATGAACAGTTTGATGAGACAGAAGTGAAATGGAGGAAAGAGCGATTCGAACGAGAACAGTGGCTTCGTGAGCAGGTGATGGCTCCCAGAATGGCATCTGCATCTTGTTCGTGTTTCCCTTTTTCACTGCTAGATGTGAAACTGTTAGTCCCTCAGGTTAAACTGGAAAAAATACTGTTCATAAACTCATCTTTGGTTTTCATTGTGAATTCTCCTCTTCCTCCTCAATATTGTACAAGGGAGAGGCAAAACAGCCATGTTCTGAAATGAGCCAGCTTCAAAGCTGGGATAAGGATCTAAGAAAACACTGCAATAAACTTTTACAGTAGAAAGTAAATTTAAAAGACTCAATTTACATAATGAGAGGACTTAGTCCATCCAAAATACTGACTGAAATATTCATTCTTAATATGAACCTTTTATATTTTACTGTGTTTTCTCTGCTACAGAAGGAAAAAAACAAAGAGCAGGAAGAGGAAGAAGAAATCGGTGAAGACAGCCAATTCATGAAACTAGCAAAAAAAGTAACTGCAAAGTCCCTGCAGAAGAAAGGTGTGTTTACTTTTATTGAAGTGACAGTAAGGGAAGGAAAGCTGAAATTCCAGTTGTCAGGTGTGGTCTCTCTCCAGTGAAGCACACGACGGATCATAAAACTCCAGTGTCCAGTTTTCTTACACCAGTCTGAGCTCATGTCTTCCAGAACGTGGAAAGCTGGAGGTATAAAAGCATTGAAGCTCAGCAACTGCAAGGTTGATGACAAATGTCAGTATTTAAGTAGTGTAAATAAATAAAATAGTATGCTACTTCTTGAAAAAAATGTTGTAGAGTGGAAATAAATTCCTCTACATCTTTTAGTCTTTTATTCTTCATGTTCTTGCCTGCAGGTTGCAGGGAAGTGGGCTGTAAGTAACACTCAGCCTAGCAGTTTCTCAAAATAGCTGTGACTTAAAGAAAAACTATGTAACATAGTAAAAATAAATTGAAGTTTCCCTCGGTTGTGACTGAAACGTGACTTCAAGTGTGCAAAGCTGTTTCAGACCCACATTTTCCCTTCTGACTGATAGAACTAACTACCGGCTGTCTGAGCTGAACAGCTCATAGTATAATTTGATGCAGATTTTTTTTTTTTCCCCCTACAGTATTTACTGTCTATTACCAATTCTAAGTTCTTCAGTTTGATATAAAGCCATATTCTTTCAATAACATTCGGAAACTGAGGTTTTCCTCTTTGTCTCTGGTAGCAAGCCCAGCAGCTGTGGTACGAGACACAACACTGCTCCCCAGGAACCCGTTTGAAACCTTCAGACCTGCGGGTGACATCCAGGTTGGTAACGGCTCTGAAAAGCGCTGTGTCCAGGCTGCACCACTAGAGCAGGTTCCGACTTGTGGTTGGTGTGGTAGTGAGTAGCTTTAGCAGGGAGTAGTCGTAGAGTAACCTACTACAAGAGCTGTCTTGTTTGCCTGAGTGCTTCAACGTAGCGTTTCCTTGTTCTTCAGATAAAAAACGGGTCTCTCCTGAACAGACCTAAAGCTGTCCTTCAGAAACTAGCAGCGATGTCGGATCTTAATCCAAACGCGCCGCGCAATTCAAGGAACTTTGTCTTTCATACCCTTTCCCCAGAGAAGAGTGCAGAGGCTAAGGAGAAATCAAAGCTTCAGGTAAGGGTTTGTGTGGAACGTGCTCCCAGTTGTACACGTTAAATGTACAGACGCTACGCGCTGCGAAGGAGTTGAGTGTTGCTGTTCTAAATATTCTCTGTGATTTCCTATAGCATGTGCTCTCACACAGAATAATTCTCTCATAATTTAAAATGCAAACTAGTTTGGGAGGTTTTTTTCTATATTCCAATGTATCCCACTCCCCTGCAGGTGAAGAAAAGATGTCCCACTGCAACCGTAACATCTCTGGCTAAACGACCCAGGGTAGAGAGCGCAGAGGAAACGAGTCAAAGCCGAAGCATATTCCAGTACTTGGAGAGCTGAATATTTCACTTTAGGGTCAGAGGTGGCGTCTCGTCTCTTTGCCTGCTGGGGTTTGATTTGCAAACCTGGCGGCAGGAAGGTAAACGCATCGCTGTGCATTCTCCTCCTGCCACTTAATTCACAAGTTCCGGTAATTACCAGGCAGTGGTCTTGTTTATTCCCCTTTGTTTTCTTCTCAGTGCTCTGTGGCAAATGAGAGCACAAAATCCATGCTTGGTTTGGAATGAAATGGTAACTTGGTCTCTCCCAAGCATTAAGGAAACTTACACTACCGTATACCTTCCCCGCAGAGTCTCACGTGTTTCAGTAATACCAGTTTCACCTGAAAATACCCTCTGTGTGACAGGTGTGTCGCAGAAATGCTGCAGTTAGCTTCAAGCACAGGTGAAGGGGGTATTCCTGGAGTTTTGAGGAAGAGGACACAGGTGGTTTATACCTGCAGTACTAAGGTGGCTACGGCTTCCTCCCTTGTCTTATTTTCCTTGATGTTAAGCATTTATTAGCTTGATATTTTAAGCAACTCTAATTTATATTTGAAATGGATACTTTTAAAAAAGGTCCCAGTCTTTTAGGAGGTAGTACAATAAGGATTTCTTCCCAGGTTTTTATTACTGTTTATATCCTTACACATGCATTTGAGTATGTGTGTGTGGAGAGGGAAGAATGCGAGTAACAGGTGTGGGAGAGGAAAAGGAGGTCTGCCTTTTATTTGGTTTTCTGGGGGGAAGTTGGTTGGTTTGTTTTACCCAGCTGAAGGCCCTCTTAAATCATCCCTTGTGTTCATGGCAGCTGTGGTCCTCAAAAAAATAGGGAAAGGCCTTCCCTAGAATGAGGAAACTGCATAATAAGGAACCATCATTCCCGGCCATTCCAAGTAGAAACTTGGGACAGAATGTACAGCATTGCTGACACTTCTGATTACACGGGGACTGTGTGGAAGTAGAGATGGGAGAGTGGCAAGACTGGCCTGCTCCCTGAGGCTAAACCTTTTTAGGGCTTGATGCCACACCCTTGGGTTGCCGGCTCTTGTCAGAGGAGTATCCTGAACTGTAAATTTTGTAACGTCGCAAGCGTATGCCTGGTGTGCTACATGTAAAATATTCTACTGTATATTGTGTTTATACGGAATTATGGTACTAATTGGAGTGCAATTTTACAATAAAACCTGGTTTTAATTTTGGAGGCAGTTGGAATTAATTTACGGGGTTTCACTCCGTGGTGTGTATGTGGGGTGGGTTTTATTGCCCAAATATTTGTGTCTCTGTTTTGTTTTTTCATTGCTGCTTTTCTTTTGTGGCCACAACTAAGCCCTTCACCAGGAACAGCTGCAATAATACTGGAATACAACACAAACACCTCCCCCCCTGTGTTGTTTTGGAGTGTAAATACTCAAGTCTTCCACTTAGGGCTGAAGACTTTATACAAACCTCAGAATATGTTTCTTTTTACTGCTTTGATAGTTTTGGTTTTGTCAGTTCCTAGACAAAACTTCCTTTCTGGTTGGCTTGAGGCGTGCCTACTTCAGTTGGTTTTAGCAATTGGTATGCCTGGATTGGGGTTGGGAGGTTTAGGGAAGGGAATAAAGGAGGAAAAGTAATTTTTCAGATGTTTGTTGAAGACGGGCAGAACTGTGAGAGAGGTGAATGTCCAGTCAATTCTCTTTCGCGGTGTTTGTAGGGCTGTGTAAGTTGTACTGATTCGGCCCAGACTGACTGGTCACAACAAGCCAAAGTTGCTAAATTCAGCGTCTTCTCTTAACTTTGCTAATAACACCCGCCACTAGAGAGCAGCAAGAGAATGCTCTTCCTCCGGCAACCGAGAATCATTGAAACTTGAGCTACACTCTTGACTCAAGGGGAAATTGTAAGTTTTCCATGCTCTGAGGTGTTGCAAAGAATTACATTTATGCTGACCTACAGCTGCTGCCTTTTTGCATTGGAAGGTGGTAACTTGAAGCACCTGTAGAGGGTTGGCTTTGGCCTCATGGTCTTACTGGCCTCTTCTCAGCATCTGCTAGCCACAACGATGGTGTTTGTTTGCTTCCCTTTAGAATTTTCCCTTCAAAATTTGTTTTGCTTGTTCTAGAGCCAAGAGTAGAAAAAATAGCTTATAAATTGAAATACAGAGAATGGAAAGATTTCTGGCTGTTGTTGTTCAGAGTAAATGTGTTTTCCCCAAAACAACCTGCCAGGAGTTCAGGGTTTGCCGCCAGTAAGCCCTACCTTGCACCCCCACGGCGGGAATTTCTGAGGTGCATTCCATGCTGTGCTTTGGGGAGTTGGAGACCGGGGGCTGGTCCTGCAGGAGCTGAAATCTCCGTAGCAGGAGGGGTTGAACACGTGCTGAGATGCTGTTGCTGCTGCTTATTGTGCCAGACTCCCTCTTCCCAGCGGGAACGGGGGCTGTGGGATTGGGCCTGACCCCACTCGTGTCGCTCTCCCGGGGCTGCCCCGTGTCTGGCACATTAGCTCAGCTTTGCCGTCTCATTTTCAGGTATCGATTCCGCTCGCCCCTCCCGGCACTTACACGGTGCTGCCGGGGAGAGAAATCCTCCGAGAGCGGCGTGGGGCTGGCTGAGGAGGAGAGACGGAGTGCGGGGGAGGCGGGGAGGAGTGACAGTGGGAATGGGGGTCCTGCGTACGGCCTGGAGCAGTGCTGCGTCTCGGCCGGTTCGGTCTCTGCGGGGCCGTCCCGGGTGGAGGGAAGAGCTCCTTCCACTTTGCTCGCTGCTTTACCCTCTGATCTCCGGCTGGCTCCCGGCAGTTACGGCTGGGAGTCGG